TCCCGATAGTTGAGAAAGCATGAGCTAAACTATCCTAGTCATGATTTGGAGTTAGCAGCGGTGGTTCATGCTCTGAAAATATGGAGGCACTATATTATTAGATATAAGAGTGATATCTATACTGATCACAAGAGTCTGAAGTACATTTTCACTTAGATAGATCTGAATATGAGACAGCATCGATGGTTGGAGTTGATTAAAGATTATGATCTAGAGGTACACTATCATCCTGGAAAGGCGAATGTTGTTGCCGATGCTCTTAGCAGAAAAAGTTATACCAATAAGGTGCAAATGGCATCTATGTCAAGTGAGTTGCGTGCTGAACTTAAGCAACTAAACTTGGGTTTCATCACTAATGCAGTAGAGTTAGTGATAGAGCCTACATTGGAGCTAGAGATACACAAGGGCTAGTTACAGGATGCGAAGTTGAAGGAGATAGCGGAGAACATAGTGATTGGCAAGGCACCAGGATTCTGTATAGATGATAATGGAACTCTATGGTTTGGGAAAAGACTATGTGTGCCTAAAAATAAGGCTATATGAGATGCAATTCTTCATGAGGCACATGAGTCTGCTTACTCTATTCACCTCGGGAGTACCAAGATGTATTTGGATCTAAAGGAGAAGTATTGGTGGTATGGACTTAAGAGGGATGTGGCTGAATATGTTGCTAGAGAGTCCAAGCTGAACATCAAAGACCTACAGGATTATTACAACCAATGAAGATACTTGAGTGGAAGTGGAAAGAAGTTGGTATAGATTTCATAGTTGGGTTACCCGCACTCAGAGAGGTTATGATTCAATTTGGGTGATAGTGGATCGATAAACTAAAGTTGCTCACTTTATATCGATGAAGACTACTTATAATGGACCAAGGTTGGCCCAATTATATATGGAGAAGATAGTGTGTCTACATGGAGTTCTAAATAAGATCGTGTCTGATCGAGGTACTCAATTTACATCTCATTTTTGGCAGCAAGTACATAGTTCATTGGGAACAAAGTTGAATTTTAGTATAGCATATCATCCTCAGACAGATGGACAAACTGAGAGAACTAATTAGATTTTAGAGGACATGTTGAGAGCTTGTGCATTGCAGTATGGTACAAGTTGGGACAAGAGTTTGCCTTATGCAGAGTTCTCGTATAACAATAGTTATCAGAAGAGTCTCAATATGGCACCTTTCGAAGCTTTGTATGGATGAAGGTGTAGAACCCTGTTGTTTTGGAATCAAACAAGAGAAACTCAAGTGTTTGGACCTGATGTTTTAAGAGACGCAGAAGAGCAAGTAAGGATGATTAGGGATAACTTGAGAGTGGCACAGTCTTGATAGAATAGTTATGCTGACACTAGGATAAGAGAATTGATTTTTGAAATAGGGGATTATGTTTACCTAAAAGTATCACCAATGAGAAGTGTGAGAAGGTTTAACATGAAAGGAAAGTTAGCACCAAGGTATATTGGGCCTTTCAAGGTTTTAGAGAGACGTGGTGAAGTGGTTTATCAGTTGGAATTGCCTGAGAGTTTGTCAGGTGTACATGATGTGTTCCATGTGTCTTAGTTAAAGAAGTGTCTGCGTATACCTGAGGAGAAGATACCGTTAGAAGAGCTTACAGTTAAGGAAGATCTTACTTATGAGGAATATCCGGTAAAGATTTTGGAGACGGCAGAAAGGGTTACAAGGAGCCGGGTTATAAAGATGTGTAAGGTTCAGTGGAATCGGTATACGGAAGATGAGGCTACTTGGGAAAGAGAAGAGGATCTAAGGAAAACATACCCGTAGCTTTTTGAGTAAGCATCGTCCGAATCTCAAGGACGAGATTCATTTTAAGGGGGGTAGAATTGTAACACCCTAAAATTTGCATGGTTTTAACATAGGAAAAATGATTTAATTATGCATTTTGTGAGCATTGAAATTTAGAAAAATAGTAACTTTGTTAAAATTAAAATCAAATATAGGTCTACATACATGTTTGTGCATTCATGCTACTGCATATTATTTTTGTATTGTGTGGATTGAAATCAAATTTCAAATTGATTTTAATTTGTATTCAAAAATTCATTTGGAAAATTAGTTTAGAAAATAGAAAAGGATTTTATTCTTCCCTTCTCGGAATTTGGCCCGCCGTAGCCCAGCTCGGCCTGCCTTCCCACGTGGCCTGCTCTCCCTCCCATAGCGGCCCGTTTAGCTCGGCCCAGCAGCCAGCAGCCCAGTGTAGCCACCTCTCCCCTTTCCCCCTCCGTTCCGTTGACAGCCGGGCCCGCGCCCTTCTCTTACCGACACGATGGTCCCAGCGGTCTGTCATCTTCCTCCTCGTGCGTGACCAGGCCAAAAATGACCATCGTCGAGAGTCCGTACCGCCCACACCCCCCTCCTTGCCTTGTACCCCAAGCCGCTCCCAGCCATAAATACCGGATGCCCGCATCATGCCGCTCCCATCCCAAGCTTCGAAGCCACCTCGCCTCGTCCCGAGCTCGCAGCGCCGCCGCTGCCGAGAACAATTCGCCAAAGCCACGCGCCGCTTCCATCCGCTCCGTGCCTTGGTAAGTTTCCTAGACAAGCTCGCCTTGCTCTCCTCTAGCTTCTGGTGTCCTTGGTTTGCTATTTCATAGTCTGTAGACTGTATTCCATGAGCGCCGCCGTGGAGCTCGCCACCGTCCTTGTTGGCCATTTTCCCTCCCCTTTGATCTGATCTACGCCGTTCGATTCTGATCCAACAATCCAGATCTTAAGATACCCCTTCGCCTGTCATTTTGCAAAAAGGCCCATATAATTATTTGGATCTCAACCCACCATCCCTGCAATTTTGTTAAAGAGCCCCTATGTTTCTTTGTTTTCATGTCCGCAGTCCCTAGTTCGGTTTAAAATCTGATTTTATGTATTTAAATTCGAAAATTAAGTTTCAACTATTTATGGTTTTGCCACTAATCTTGTTTTTGCCATAAAATCTTTGTTTTAACTCCTATTGATACGTTCAAGTTGCGTTAGGTTCATAATTGAGTAATCTACATGTTCATACTGCTGTTAAGTATAGTTTCAACTTTTAAAATTTGAGGTTAGATTTAATCTATTATTTTACTAAAAGAAATATTGTTTAATACATAACTTCTTCGTTTTAGCTCTGATTTTCGTGATCTTCGCGTCTGTGTGTTCGTAGCAAGATGTAGATTTGTTTTACAAACTTTTCATCTTGATTTTATGCTGTTAGTGTATTGTTATAATCTATAGCTTTTGTTTGCTATGTATGATTGCTTCTGGATGCTTGTATGTTGCTGTGATTATCGAGTATAGACGGTGAGCAATTCGTGGGTGATCAAGAGTACTACTTTGACAAGCAGGATTAGCAGGAGCACTTTGTTCAAGGCAAGTATAGCATGGGAATATCCTTGTTTCCTATCAACTTTAATACATTTAATTCATGTTGCATGTGTCACTTTGATAGGGATTCCCTAGAATTGAACTTATACCTTGTCTCCTATAGGATATGCATTGGGTAGCATTGCTAGTGCTCAACTAAACCAAGATCTTGTAACTTGGCTAATGGTATATGCAATAAACGTTAAAACATGACTTTTTAGCAACATAGAAACAGGGGGCTGGAGTGTTTAGCTACTTTCTAAATGCTCTAGATTCCTCTCCCTAAGGACTTATCTGTAAGTGATCATCTAGGACTTACAGTACGGCTGTGAGGGCTACATGGCTCTGGCTTTAGCTTAGTATAAAGACGTTTTCTAGATTGTTAGAGGTTACCTTTATGGCGTAAGAGGGGTGTGTTTCGGGTTGGATATAGCGCGGCCTCTGTCCGTCAGTGTATAGGCTATGCGTCATTGTGCCTGTCGGAAGGGGAGCCCTACATTCGTAGGGCACAGAAATCTAGCGGCCCTAACTTGTTAGACGAACATTTGAAAGATTTCATAGTGACCCCTGCCTACTCACCTTGGAAGTGTTTTGGGAGTAATTATCCTATGCATATGGGTATCACGACTCACAGTGAAAATGTACAACCTCTGCAGAGTGTAAAACTGGTATATCAGCCATGCTCACGATCACGAGCGGCCTTGGAACATTTATGGATTAGATGATCACTAAGAATTATCTGTTTATGCTATTCATTATTCATGTTTACATTGATCATGTGTTTCACTTTGGGATTGAAACAACTTGTTGCTACTCTTATGCTAAAATTATGACAACTAAAAGCTGAATGCTGTTAAATCTGTGTCTAGCCTTTTGAGCCTCATGAACCCTATGTTACACTTATTGAGTACGACACAAACTTACGCTTGTTTATTTTCATTATTTGGATAAAAATTCCGGATGGGTAATAGATGGCTATGGTAATGACGACTTTCCTTAGGATTACTAGACTTGTGGTCAACCAATTGACGTCCCTGTGATATGGAGCTTCCGCGATAGACTTTTCTTTATACTTCCACTATATTTATGTGAATACTATGTCTTATTATTCATGATGTAATAAACACTTGTGATGATACTATTTATAATTTGTCGGCTTATGTGTGTGACTGATATCTGGGCGCACATAAGATTTTGCATCCCATTTTATCCTTAAAATCGGGTGTGACAGTTCGTAATTGAGCAATTTACATGTTCATACTACTGTTAAGTATGTTTTCAACTTTTAAAATTCGATGTTAGATTTAATCTATTATTTTATTAAAGGAAATCTTGTTTAATTCATAACTTCTTCGTTTTAGCTCCGATTTTCGTGATCTTCGTGTCTGTGTGTTCTTAGCAAGACGTAGAATCATTTTACAAACTTTTCATCTTAATTTTATGTGTTGGTGTACTGTTCTAATCTATAGTTTTTGTTTGCTATGCATGATTGCTTCTGGATGCTTGTATGTTGTTGTGATTATCGAGTATAGACGGTGAGCAATTCGTGGGTGATCAAGAGTCCTACTTTGACGAGCAGGAACAACTGGAGCACTTTGTTCAAGGCTTCAAAAAGTTTCAGATGAAGCACTTGCTTCATTAGATCTTGATGGAACAATTATTGGCATAAACTCTGTGAGCGTTTCACGCTCAAGGACTGCAATCTGCCCTATTAACCCCAAGTTCCTTCCTCAGGTTAGTCAAAAGGTTTTCTTGCCAATCTTTGATTTACACCCTAAAGGTGTTGCAATGCCTAATAATGTACTTACTTGTTTTACTCTTCTGTATGTATAGTCTGAAGCTGAGTGGGAGACCTGCTTGAGGACTATATATTGCACCAATATCAGCAAAATTGTATGTAAGCTAACTTTCATTAGTTTCACCTAAATTAGGATTCATACGCCAATTATTTTTCTTCAATTCTTATATTTACTTATTCCTTGTTAACTTTTACAGGTCACAAGTAGTAATCTGAAAGCTTTTTGTGAGGCATACTTTGGCAAGGCACAACAATCTAGCAAATCGTTACTTCATTTCTTAATTCTGCAAATGCCACGTACCCTTTCTGTGTTTATGTTCAAGGATTATTCATATGAATTATTTACAATCTTTATTTCAATGCATCACAGGTTTGCCACCTTAAGCTTCTGGATAATGAAGATCGCTCCACAAATATAGCTTTTATTGAGTTTGCTGAGGTACCTAATAGTCTCAAAGTTCATCTCAATTAAACTTTTTCTGCACCGAATTTACTTTGATGAATTAATAATGACAATGGAACAACCTATATGACCTATGAGTTTTTGTTTGTATTCTTTACTTTGTTTTCTATGCTCTTGTGCTCACATTTGGTGAGCCGGTATGCTATGATTATGTATGGATCCTTTTAAAATCGTTTATACTCATAATAATATGAGATTAATAATCAAGATATACCTGATGTTAGTTTGTTACCATCCACACTAATAGTTTAATTCTTCGCAAAAAAAACACTAATAGTTTAATTATAAGCTATTAAACACCTCCCAACACCTCTGACCCATTAAAACTCACAAGTATAAATGATTTTCTTCCTGAGTCATTTTGGTGTCTCTACGTGCATATATGTAAGACTAATTAGCGTTGGTGCATGCTATTTCCTACATGTGTTTTAACTACAGGTTGATGGTGCTATTGCTGCTCTTATGTCCGGCGGCATTTACGTGGATGGCATTCCTATCAGGTTTGCTCCTACCTTTCATGTTTTTGCTTTGTTTCTCCTTAGGAGCACATTCACTGCTATTCATATGTGCCAGACTGCTGATTTGCTGTTCTGTGCTACTTGCTGGTTTGCAGGATGTGCCCACCCAAGAGCCCGATAAGGACCTATTGCTTTGGGAGCCCAACTGCGCTGGAAGGGACCATTGGTGGATACTAGCTAATAACAAGCTGGAGTGCGGAAACTGTTACCAGAGAGTGGCATAGTAGCGCCACCATGGTGTGTCATGATCCGGCAATATATATCTACTGATGATCAGTTGCACATGTGGTTGAGTCATGACCTGAGTCATGTACACTCTTTAGACTTTTGGTTTAACATAATACCCCAAAAGAGCAACAACATTTCAGAGCATTGTCATACTATACTACAACATCTAACTAAGCAAAGGTCTAACCGTTGTTTTAAATAATGGGCTACTATAGTGTTGCTATATATAGCAGCTCCAGGGAGACGCTACCCCCAAACCAATTTTCGCCCGTCGGTACGTGTCTTTCCTCTCGGCTGGAGCCACTCCGTCATGAGCGCACGACTTCTCCCCGCGGTGGCAAAAGACCGACCTGGAAAGTAACTCCCATCGGCCCACCACTGCCACGGAGTCCAGTTTCATGATTCTAGCGCCCTTCGCGCGTAGACATTAGAATCCGCGCTGAATCCCCGCGCTCCAACCGGTCATATGGCCCACGGGACATACTCACAGCCCGTGACCGGGTGGAAAGAAGGGCGTGGGCGTGCGCCCGCAAAAAAAGAAGCGCGCAAAATTGCCCACCACCCGTGACTTACCCCCTCCGGTCTTTCCCCAAATCCATCTCCTCCGCAGTCGCATCCTGTCTTCCCCACTTGTGAGACAAATCCCAGTCCAGCCGCCGCCACCCACCGCCTGCCACCAGCACTCCCGGCACCTAAAAAGTTGCCTGGGGTAGTGAGAGCTGCCACTATGACCACCGAAAGTGCAGCCTATAATGGGTAGTAGCAGGCATGTAAAAAACATTCGGATATGATTGTAATTGGCTAGGCAACATAATCACTGATTATCAGGGAGTGATCTGCAAGTAACTTTATGAAAACATCTAGGCCCCTATTTGGGTTTTGATAATTAATGGCAACTCATGTAGACCAACATTTCATGTAATATGTGAAGGTTAAAATTTTAGTCCATATCACTTCAAAAAAAAGTCCACTTTTGAGGTTTAATGGATGTCCTGGTCAAATGGCAAGGAAGTATGGTGACAACTTCAAGGCAAAAGGTTTAACAATAGGGTTAGTGTTAGCCGGTCATGAGGTGATTAGAGGATGTGAAATAGCTAGACTGATAGGATAGATAGTTGTACTATTAAGAGGGAAAAACTTACATTACAGTAGACAAGTGTCACTTTGAGGTCTAACAAATTCATTGCATTTAGAATTGAGTGCCAATTTGAAAAACAAATCACAAACCTTTGAAAATGTTTTTAAAGAATACTAACTAAGGACCAAAGGTGATGATCATCCTATAGGAGATCAACTTGAGTTAGCATATTTGAAAAAGTGTTCAAAAAGAAGTCTTTTGGATTGTTTTATAGTGCACCACCAAGAATGCACTTGAGTTTTTTAATAGTGTCTATGGGAGTAAGTTTTAATAGTGAAAGTCCATACTTCCAATGCACCACCAGAGTGCATGCACCGGAGTCGAATAGTAACCGAGTTAGTGGCACCAAATTTCAAAAGCATGGATGGATCTTTGCATAGGAGAATCTAGTAAGGGTTTTTTCTTACTAAAAACCTATAGAACTCACTTGATCTCTATGGTGCTGCACCAAAGAGATGTACCAGCGTTTCAACATAGTACACGAGTTTGAGAGTCAAGGAAGCAAAGCACACCGAAGCTCTCCGTGCCTCACTGATAAAATAATGGTTGAGTCTGACACAATGTGTTAGTTATCGTTGTACATTTCTTTGAGATTGCGAGGACGACCTCGAAGGTGAATGTCGGGTTTGTTTAGGGTTGTTGGTGTTGTTTAGATTGTTGGTTTGGTTTTGACTTGTTGCGGTTGTGAGGTTTGTGGGAGAGGTGGTGGCGGAAGCAAAGCAGGGTGAGGGTTTGTCGTTTAGGCAGGGTTGGCGGATGAGTTACTGTGTAAGGCTGCGAAGGAGATCGTGGTTGGCATTGGAAAGTATGGTGTGAGGTTCGAAGTGATTGTTGTAAGTTTGATAGTGTTGATGCAGGTTTGGGTAGCTTGGAAAATGGTGGCTTGGAGGTTGCAAAGGTATTCCGTAGTTTATGGGTGTGTATTGGTAGTTTGGGTTAGGTGGCTGGATGGGTGGCCTTCGCGTGTGGTTTACTAGTTTCAGTGTTGAGCTTGATTGGGAATCCTAGAATTCCTTTCAATTGGTGAAACAGGTACACTACTTGATTGTGTCGCCCTTGCTTGGGACACAGAAATGGCAGTAGATTTTGTATGGGTCTTTTGGTGGCCCTCGATTTGCGAGGTTGTTTCTAGAGTCACTCTTGCTGACCGGGTGCTCCGGGACCTTTGTGATTTGTTGCTTAATCTGGGCTAGCAGAGGTGTGTTATCTATGGCATTCACGTTGATTTGTTCTCCATGATGGTATGGGAGTCTTTGCAAAGAATCTTGGTGGAGGTCGAGGTTGGGATCTTTGTGCCTCGATTTTTCAATCTAAAATCCATATCCGATCTACTGATGTACTTTTCCATCACATGATGTAGCTCTCTGAGGGTTGTCGTGGGCTTTCTTGTGAACCTAAGGAACATGGTCCCAATCTTAAACCATTTACACTCATCACTCATACCTTTTCACAAAATTGCGTCGTAAGCCACATCATAGTCCAATTTTGGCCTCGGCAGTAAGCTGTCGACAATGATGGTCATAGCCTTCACCGTCGGCATCTGGGACCGACTGCGGTGTACACTAACACCGCCGATTGGCTTATGATCCATCCATGATTAGGTCCTTCCATCGTATTGAAGCACGACCCGGCTGTGGATGTACACTAACACCGCCGCATTAGCAAATGATCCACCTTTGTCGAGGCTATCAAAACCGTCGCCTGATACTTCGACCCGTCTATTAGCGGTGCGGGTTCACTATCGGTTCAACGACCGAGACGCCTATGTGCAGGTTAACACCACCGTCGCTTCAGCGTATGATTCGCCAGTACAAAGGTTATGGTCACTGTTGCCTTGCACCATAATCCGCCTTTGATGATCAATTAGTCGGTGTCGGGTTACTAAAGGATTCGGCGGTGATATACTTTTGATCCCTGCCGCATCATACATATAGCGATGGTGACAGAATTTCATCCGGTGTTACAATAGTTACTAATTCAACAGGACCCTTAATAGCTTCGTGAACACAAAGCATACAGATATATAATCATTACATCCATAAATTATGGTCACAAACAAGAGTACTTTTTATGATAACAATGGACGCTACCATAACATCTTTCTCAACTGATGTCCTAACACAAGCGGTACATAGAGCATACTAAAGGTACTGATCTATACAGACTTACATAACAAAATGACATAGCTGTGCTCCTTCTATGTGGCACTCCTGCTTACAAGGCAAAATGAATATAATTAGTGCATCCTTCGGATTGGTAGCCAATGCACCATGGAACCCCTCTTATTTATCTCTAATCCACAACCTGAACAAAGCAGCAGAATTAATAATATTGAACATACCATTCCTTTAGTTAACAAGCCAAAATTAGCCTATACATAGATAGAATGAAAACAACTCCCTACTTGAACAAAGACTGTCGTGACGACGAAATGCAGGAAATGCACCTTTACTGCTCTGCTAAAGACTCCATGAACAAGGGAACATAAGGAAGATAGTAAGGCCTATTCATATGGAAATGCCCTCTTGATCTACAAAAGCGGATGACACGAACATGGATGACATGAACCTTTCTGCGGTCCATGTCATATGCAATCAATGTTCTATCCTTCCCAACAAGGAAAATAAAATTCCATTCCGGGTGAAATGTAATCACACTATACTCCTCATCACAAAGCTCAGAACCAATTTTAATATTCATGTGTCCAAACAGTTCCTTCGTGTCCACAACATGCTTCAAACTTTAGTTATCAGTACCATAGTCTTCAAGTATCCACACTAAAAGCCAAGACCTATTGCGAAAATCAGCACAACACACACACAAGTGAACCTAAGCTTGATGGATGGACATTTCAGCATCACCTGGTTTATGAATTGTCCTCCATGTATTTCCCTCCATATCCACAGCAACTATCGCAGAGTACTCAAGCATGTGCATAAAACCATTAAGAAAAACACTTCTCGATTTTGAACGTAGAACAATACTACCCTCGCCCCATTCAGATTCCTTAAACATCCATGCTGCAGTTTTAGATGAGTAGATCTCCACACCTACACACGCACCCTCCACCTCAACAAATTCAATCACATGGAAGTGCGAGGATGTTGGGTCAAAATCTAAGCGAGCCTGACCAACAGAACAGATGCTATGCGGCAGTACATGCCATTTGTGGGTCGCCGGATTGCAGTCAACATAGTGATGTAATCCATTAGGCCCAGTACACCAGCAAAGGACGAGGCCGCTGCAACAATCTGAGACTAGGACTTTTTTAAGGGGGAAGAGCAAGAAGGACAAGGAGGGCTGTTCACCAGTGATGCTGGTGAAGTGGCGATTGCCCTTCCACCAGCTACCATAGAAGAAGTCGACGACAGTCTGTGAAAGCTTCTTACATTGATAGGAGTCGGAGATGACGTGCTTCTAGGAGCGACAGACACACTTGCAGCAGCACAAGGACCGAGCGGGGAGGTAGCTGAAGATGTCAGCAAGCACATCGTTTGAGAGGCTATCCACTGCACTCCTCATATTGCGGGCCTTCTTCATCTAGAAGGACACCAGTAGCCGAAGAGATGAGGCCGCCCTGCTATGGAATTACATCAATAAACATTAGTAAGGAGATGAGTTTTTAGGAGAAGGGACAGCGATGCAAGTAAGGCCTTATTACACTTGCCTTTGGATCTGGCGGTGGTGAGCACGAGTGGCAACACTGGTGATAGCAGCAGTTCATGCGTCGGTAGATCTATGAGGGCATGCTGACGATGTGCACCATCACGGAGCAAGAGCTGAGCAGTGGTGATGAGCAGTAGCGGTGATG